TATATATCTTCTTTCTTCACAATGACGGGAGATGCTCTGGATCTCCCTTCATTCTCCTATCTTACATATGTAAATATAGTAACAATCACGTGTTTGGACAATGTTTAACAACGCAGTTAACACACACGCGCGAAACCGGACGCCTCTCTCTCTCTCTGCTCCGTGACGCGCAACGGGCACACCCTTATTCTCCTGCACGATTTCCTACAATTACGATGATGACGACGATAACCCTCCCTTTTCCTCTCTTTTCTCACCTACCATCGTTCTCTCTTTCTCTTTCTCTCTCTCTCTCTCTTTCTCTGTATTCCTGCAATGATGACTCTGCCCTTCCGCCGTTTGCTATTTACCCTCTCGTGTACCATCCGCTTTTTCCTCTCGTTTTCCTACCCGGTTCTTATCGCACGGACTTCAGGCGGTGTAATCGATTGGGCGAAATGCATTTCTTAACTACGGAGAAATTCCTCTGCGGTAAAATTTCCATCACGATTAATCCTCGGACGGAAATAGCGTTTCATGTTTTTAATTCATAACGCGCGCGTCTCTTTTAAAACAACAGATTCTTTCTTACTGGAAAAATTAATTACGATGGATATACAATTGAATTAATTTCCTTCAATTAACTTTTTTTTCGAATTTTACTTGCGTGCGAGGGGAGAGAGGGAGGTACGCATTTATTTTCCAATTATATCCGCCGTGCATTTTCTCGTGCAACGCGCGATCGTAATTTTTCAGAGTAGATGCCAGCGAGAAACGCTTTAGCGTTCCCGCTAGACTGAGTAAATAGCAAAACGGTCGATCGGGATGGACGATCGTAACTCACCCCGAAACAATTTCTCCGCCGCCCGGCATTTCCTCCGCGCCCATATGATGCACTTATGTCCACATGAATATAGATGCGTACGTAAAATACAGATACTAACATGCCCATGGCTGCGTTCGTGCCGAGCAATTCGTTACTTGACTTTTTTCGAGATAATAAAGAGATTCGTGAAACGAGCTACATTTCCCTACAAATCTCGGAAAAATTCAAATGAAATCTGATTCATCCTAAATCTCGGTAATGTTAAACGAATAATTTTGTTGTATGATAACATTGTATCGTATGTAATAAATAAACTTTCTTTTATATTAAAACTATTTATATTACATATCAAATTCTATACTGAAAAATATAGAAATTATAATACTATTTTTAACAGAAATGTCGTCCTGCGTAAAGAAATTTTCTGTACACGTAAGAGACAAGAAAATTTCGAAATTTAAAGACGAAAATAACTACGAGAAGTGAAAAATAGATTTTCAGTGATAAATTAGAAAGAGAACCGACAAGTTTTAGGAATATTGATTTGACTTTCCTGATGGCTTTTTGGCTTGACTCGTCTATCCGTCGCCGTAGATTTGCCGAATTGGAATAAGATTCGCGTATATATACGGGCCCCGCGCGAACGTATTTTTTGGACTCGCGCGATGGACGTTTCTCCGAAGCGTGGCGTAACGGATTATAATCGGATTCGGCGACGATTAATCAAAGCGCGACGCTCGCACTCTGACTCAGCACAAAGGCGCGACTCGGCTTTTCCATCTCTCTTTCCGTTTCTCACGCCCAGCCCTTCGCGCGCGGATCGAAGTTGATTGCAAAATTATGCTCTCCTCGGTGCTTCGCCCCCTTCGGCGTAATTAGGCCGTATTTGCCCGTCGGACAATTTACCCCCGGTATTAATTATTAACGAGACTGCGAAACGTCCGTTCGCTCATTTCGAATTCTCCCGAGCCTGGTTAAATGTTGCATTCGAAAATCGTTCAATTTGAGAGATATTAAACGATAATCGCATAATGACGAGTTTCTCGATCTCACTCTCTTTGCGAATAAAAAAACTCAAAAGCTGGCTCATGTTATTATTATGTTATTGTGATTGTATAATCACAGCAACGTAAATATAACAATGTATGCGCTTATATATATCTCCTTTTAAGTCTGAATCGAACTGAAACTTCGAGTGCGGCACATATTTTTCAGATACGTGTGAGACTAAGATAAATGACGGAGATCGAGAAGCTGCTCGCAATTATTTCCACGGGATTTACGATCGAGGATAAGATAGGGGGACGCCGAGAAATCTACGCAAAGAGAAAAAGAAAGAGAAAGGGTCGTGCGCGACGCGAGGGGGTTACCACCCTCTTCTCGTCGTCGCCGGAAAGAGCCGCGGTGTGTCGTATCTCGGAGTCGAATCACCTGTTATATCTCCGATCGGGAACAGGTGTGACGCGCAAGACGTTTCCCGCGGCGTGTCTCGTGGCACAAAATGCGATCGCATCAACGTGAACGAGAGTTGCGTGTACAGTCTATTTTTATTTCATGTGCGGACGTGTGTGTGTGTATGTGTGTGCGCGCGACGTGAATGTGCGATCCCAAGATCGAGGACGCGACGATCCGCAGGATCGAATCGCTCGCAGTTTTCTTCCATGATGGCAGATAAATATATATATATATGTACAAATATATTTTCTCGGGAGGCTACCTTCCGTGTGAGTCCTTTTTCCTTTCCATTTTTTTTTCCTTTTCCTCGTCGCTCCGTCTTCGACCCGCGTAGCCTCGCACGGAGCTCAACAATACAAGAAACAACACGACAACAATTAACGACTTCTTTAGGCGGTGGGCGAATTTGTGCGTATCGTGTGCGATCTCCATTTCTCCTCGTCCTCATCCCCCTCGCGCGATCGAGAACTTCGCTCCGCGCTCTTGTCGCGCTTCTTACTTTACATGATCGAAGACACCCTCCTCCATGTTCCGCGCTTTATTTTACCGTGATCGAGGACGTCCCCTGTCCTTGCTCCACGTTTTATTTTACCGTCGAAGACGATGGTTGGCGTGCGCATGTGTGTATGTACACGCGTGCGTCCGTGCAACTCCGTGTTGGATACTTTCCGCCGGTCTCCTGCCTCCTTTTTTCTCCTTTCTTCTGGAGGAAGGGTTACACCGAGTCTCTCGTTACACAAGCGGAACCGACCCGTCCGTCTTCCCTCGAAAAACTGCACTTTCCTTCGGTTACTACAGCTCCAACATACTTACGTTACTACACCCTGCGCGTCGTTCGCGTTCCTTTGTCGATTCGTCGTTTCCCCTCCCTTCTCCTCACCCCGCTCGCCGTGGCTTCAACTTCGTACACACTTTTGTTTCCGAAACTACTTCTCCGTATCTTCAACTCGATGAAGACAATCCTACATTCACGTAGGATTTTACTCTTTCGGTCTACTTTTCCGTAAATCAGCTAAACTTCGACTGCGCCCTGTACGCTCGTCGCGTTCGTCTATAGAATCTTCTCGCTGACGCAATTAATTCTTATCGTCCCCATCCTGAAATCGACTTGCAATTTTTCTACCCTCGCGATAGATGAAGCAATCTTATCTCTAGATGCTACATCTCGAGAAATATCCCCGAGAGCGGACGCACGAGAGAGAAATCGTCGAGCGAAATAAAGGATGAAAAAAAAAAAGATAGTCGATAAGGCGTGAGCGGAAAGAAACGAAATGAAGAATGAAGTGTAACAGGTAAAAGGGGAGAAAGCGCGATCGATTCGCATTTGAGACGTAATAAATCTGTCGCCAGTTCCGAAGTAAGAAAAAAAATCGACGACGCTTCTCGCAGTCGCGGCGTGCCTAAAAGGAAGTCCAAGTCCTGACAGTCCTCTTCGCGTGAAACGAATCACCAATGTGATCTCGCGCGCGACCAATCTCCACCGCGCCGTCCACTGCCGCCGCCGTCGACACCGCCTTCCGCATCGTCGATCCTGATAATCGAACACATCGCATCACGTCGCGTCGCGTCGCGCGTCGCGGCGTGATGCACCCGGCGTGGATCGAAATGCGGAACGCAACGGACGGAAGCCGGAGGATTTTCTCGGAATTTCGCGTGTTTTCGCTTCCTCGACGCGCGCGCGAAAAAAAAAGTCGACTCTAAAATTTTCGCTCGTCTACCCCCTTGACCCCCCTCGCCGTTCCTCCTCGCGATTCTCGATCGGCAAACCATCTCAATATCGTGATTCTCCGTGATCCGACATTTCTTCGCGTCGTTCGTCATTTCCTCGTTCTCGTTTTCACGTTTCTCTCACAGCCTGTCATTCCGCTCCTCTCTGTCTTTCTCTCCCTTTACTTCTATCTTTATCTCTCAATCCCGTCCTATCACTCGCGCAAATACATATACACGTACATACACATACACACATACGCATGCATACACCCTCACCACTTCGACTCTCAGTTCTCGTTACAGGTCTATGTTTTAATATTTACGATTATTATTTGCGGTAATGTCTAAACGAACACATATTATATCTCGATAACACGTCATGCTTATTTATCATCCCGTGCCACGCGTTTTTACACCCCCCCTCCCACTCTTCCTCCCTTCAGCAGGTCCATATCGGCTATATAAGAATATACCAATTCCCCTCCCGCTCCCCGTGCGTTCAAATACCAACCTCACTCTCTCTCTCTCTCTATCTCTTTCTCTGGCCGAAGAAACTACCTATCTACGGTTTTCTTTCTTTAATGTTGCCTCATTAAAGTTTAACGACTTATACCCCAATGTGTATGTGTTCTCTTGTGTGCCTATACGTCTGCTTTTGGATTCTGCATCTATTTCTCTTTCTCTCTCTCTCTTCTTTTATCACACTTTCTCATACACACACTGACACACGCACTCTCATACACACTCTCCTTTTACTTCTCTCATTTTGTTCACTCTCTCACTCGCATCGTGTGTAACGTAATGTAATATATAATAATTGTGTCGTTATCATTCTATCATTTACTTTAACGTTACTCGTCATCGTTTCTCTTTTATATATATATATATATATAATATATTTATATATTTATATATTTATATCGTTTACTTCATTATTTAATCTTCATTATTATTTCTTCATCATTATCATTATTGTTAACTATATATATATATATATATTATTATTATTATTATTTATTATTTTATTTTGTTTTATTCATTATTGTTGTATTATTATCATTATTATTAGCTCTAAACATTACGTTTCCTTCGTTCTCGGTTGTTCTTGTTGTTTTTTTTTTGTGGTTGATGAAGTTGTTTTTTGTGGTTCTCCCTTTCCTCCCTCTTTTGCTCTAGTCTGTGGAACCGAAGTCGTCGACGAGACCGGCCCCGCGCCTCCTCCACTTGTGATCCTTGAATCCTTTCGCACTCCTCTGCTACTCCCGCCTTACTACTCCTCCTCGCAGTTGCTGGTGTTCTTTCTACCCGTGCAAGTATCCCGGGGACACGTCCCCCGATCCTTCGTATACTTCCTCGTATTACGCCCCGACGTTTCTCGCTAACGTCGATCCGTTTCCCCGATCGAGTTTCGCTTCGATCGAGTCCGCGCGCTTTCTCTGAGCTACTCCGGCTCACCGTGGAGAGACAAGCTCTCGCGGATTATATTCCGCGACAGAAGAAAAAGACCCGTACCGATCCTGCGTATCCAGGAAAGCGAGGCCGGCCACCCTATGGCGGGTCCTTCCTGGATATCGATTTGGCCGAGCTTGCGACGTCTATCCTGAGAAGTCTCCCTGTGAGATCGCCTCTTCTCCCGCGCCGTCGATGCGCCTCTCTGCAGTGAATCACCGGACGTCTCCGCCGTGGGACGAGCTTCGTGCACCGGCCGCCTCCGGTCGATCCGCACCTCCGCCACCGACGCCACAACCACCACCAGTCGCGGCACCGACACCTCGCCGCGAACTTGAGGAACAGCTCGAGGACGGCGATCGATACGTCGCGCAAGACGGACGCGACGCCGGAACGACGGAGGAATTTCCAGCGGAAGTGCCGGCTGCTGGACCGCCTCCAAGACCTCCACCACCACCATCCGCGACGGCGGCACTTCATCATCGCCCGTCCGGGCATCCCGCGTACGAACAGGAGGCAACGCACAGCAGCGCGCCGACAGATCCCGGTCGAACCGAAGGAAATGAGAAGATCGTTGAAGACCCTCCTGAGGACGTGCGCGCTCGAAAGGAGCAGGCCGGAACCGAACAGCCGGAGGGATCCGCAGGTACTCCAGGACACGGCGTTGTAATGCAGCGCGTTCGCGGGGAGGGCGATCAGGATCGAACAGAGCCAGAAGAGCTGAAGGACAATCGGCGGGCTCGGTCGGCCGGGCGAGGACGCGCTCGATATCGAGCCGATGCGGCCGCTGCCGCAGAACGCCGTGTCCTTTTGGGTGGTGGTCGGAGGTGTCGTGGTGCTGGAAGGAGCGATGCTGGTGTCCCCGTCGTCGCCGCCGTCGGTGGGCTTGCGGTCCGTCGACGTTTCCGGTTCGCCCGCCCGCGAGCCCGGACCTGCGGTCAGAATAATGTCGACCGTTGGCTTAGACGAGGATTATACCGATTAAACAAAAACAAAAAAAAAGAAGAAAAAAACTGCAACTTTTCTCGATATCGAGAATTGTGGATGGGCACTAGTCACCTAAAGAGTCGCTCGAAAAGACATGTAATCCTCGCAAATCTCTCACGGAACATAAGTATTCGCAAATTCAAGTATAACTGAATCTATATAATTTGTATATTTAAGTACAAATAAATGTCGTATTAAATTAAATTCTTACGTGTAAATAAAAGGTGTAAGAATTAAAGCTTTCTTTAATTTTCACAAAATTTTTCTCGAAATTCCTACAAGTTCAATTCAAGTCAATTGTTCTAATCGCTCGCTGATTCTCGGAGCTCTTGTTGCGCCTACCTGTAGAACCAGATGGAGGATGCACTGGGGGCTCGCACACGGGCGCCGTCGCGGGAATAAGTTCCTGGACCTGGCCCTGTTTCCATGGGTTGCATGTGGTGCAGAGATTCGAGGTATTCTTGGGGCACTCTTGAAAGCAGCACTCGTCGTCACTGATGCCGTGCAACGCCCTCGTGGCCTGCTCGCCGGTCTCGGGGATGTTCGGATCTGAAATCATTGCGTTTTCCAACGACCTCGTGTATGGACGGATGCATACGGTGGTCGTTCTCCTCACAACCATGCAGGGGAAATGGGAATTTCTCCTGGGAAAAGAGGCGACGGGATAGGGGGAGGTACATTTTTTGGAGGACACATATAAAGTTCCACGAGTTAAAGCAATTATCTCTCGATAGTTTCTTGCAGGAGGGGAAAGGAAGGAAAGACGCTCGCGTATGTGAAGTGTTGCGGAACAGTAGATCAGATCGGAAAGCAATCGTAAAAGGGAGTCGCGATTCCGTAAACAATTCAGTGAGCGATGATCTCTGCGCGCGCGCACGCGTGCGCCTCCTATTATTTTGAACGCGAATTTGTCGCAGGAGAGAGTCTAGCTCTAGTTGATTAAAAGCGGATTAGTTGGCACGTAACTGCTGACTACTCGCCAGATTTTCTGTAAAGGCCAATTATCAATTAATCCAAGATCGATCTTACCAAGGACGATCCCCGTTCGCGACTAATTGGCAATCGACTCTTTACGGAGAATTGCGAATCAACGTGCGTGCCAACTTGCCTACCGTATCTGTCAATTAGGGTCTCCCCCTTTCTCTATACGACAAACATCGCAAATAACAGGATAAAGGCTCAATAAACTAAATTCCTTCTTTATTTTACTTTACTTTTGTGCTTCTCTCCACACATCTTTTTGTGGATCTATCTCTTTTGTGGATCCCGTATCTATCTCTCACAATCAGGCACGTCTACGCCAGGTGTCATCTTAAAATTCCGCCTTCGCGTTCCACAGATCCGTCGTACCGCAAAGATTTACGTAAACAGCAAGATAGAAGAAGGAAAAGAAAAAGAGAGAAAGAGATATTTGCGCTACTAGTCGTTACGAAAATGCGACAGCAAGAGGTGCGGGGTCGAAATGCATTTTCTTGAGGCGCCTTGGGTGCGAAGGAATGAAAAAAAAAAATGCCCGATAAAGCGTCCAATCTTCCAATAACCGCGCGGCACGCGTCCCGTTTAACGCAGTTTTATACCCAAACCGCCGTTTACGACCGTCGCATGAAAAAAAAAGAGGATGACGAGAAAGTATTCGGACATTCGCACGCGTGTGCTCGGATATATTAACCCTTTGCGCTCAGTGTGGCGATATAAACCGAGAGTGAAGACCCCTCGTATGAAATTACACGGTCAATTTTCCTTACGGAGAAAAATGCGGACGAATGGTATTGCATATATTCCTCTCTCTCTTTCTTCATTTTTAATAATTGTTATGTCATTATGCATCATATTGTCGAGCTAATAAATAAATGAATAAGTAAATCTTTTTAATAAATATATTTAAAATTTGTCTCTTCTCATCTTATATGATTTTAAATCACAGTCGTATCGCGGAACATCCGTGACGCCGAGCGTAAAGAGTCAAGATTATTGAGTCAATGGGACTGACAGTGAAGCGTGTCATGCTGGCAGAACGACAAAACGTCAGATAGCCGAGAGAGATCGGTATTGTGCTACCGGAGAGGAAGGGGAGAGAAAGGGGGGGGGGGTAAGAGAGGAACAACGCCGTGCAAAAAATTCCGTTTTGGAAACGCAGAGATGCGTCGGTCCGCTGAATGTAGAGAAATTGAAAGAATTAACATTACCCGCTTATGGAAAATTATGGCGCGAGCCTGAAATGTCATTGATCATATTACACGTGGCGTGGCGTACAGTATATGGCAATAATAATTTACACGAATACGGGGACGCCTCCCGCCGCCCCTCCCCCCTTCTCTCTCCAGCGGTAAGGTGGAACGCCCGCATTGTTTCGCGGAGCTTATGCAGGGCGTTCCACCGCAGCGGCCGTTTATGCGCTTATGCGTAACCTCATGCAAATTTCTATGCCGCGGACTTAGCCGCCACGAAGTGAACGCCAAAATGAACGCTCCTCGTCGTCGTCGACGTGAACAAGAGGAGAGACTGACGGCGGCGGTGTGTAACGGATATACCGAATTGCCCGTGTCTCGTTCGTATCCTTCGCAAATTTTTTGCGAAGCAAGCAGGGTGCCAACTGAACATTTGTACCCTCTTCTTCGAGAATGGCTTCGCGAGTGGCGTTAAATGAGAAAACGAACGAACTGAACAAACACTTTGTTTAACTTCGATATTTTTTTCTCTGATTAGCGTTTTGTTTTTCTCTTCCCCCCCCCCTTTCCTCTTCTCTTCTTTTTTTTCTTACCTCTGCAAAGAAAAGTGGGCTCGCCGGCGTACTGTGTGGGGTATGCGGGGGCACGATCGCCCGGAAGGAAGTAGGGGCAACGTTGCTCCACGGTCTGGCAAAAGGATCGGCAGGGCCTTAATCTGATCCATTTGCTTCCCAAGGTTTTCTTGTCTTTCTCTTTGTTGACTTCGTCGTCTGTCAGATTCCGATGAGCAAAGTAAGGCACCAGGGAGCTGCACACCCATTTCCTATACGCATCCTGCAATCAGAATCATCGTGCACTCGTTAGAATCAATCTTTTCCTACAATTTTCTACAACATACAAAGATGTGAGAGAGATACATCTAATTGAGATTCGAGGTAAAATGAAAAATTCTTTTAATCACTTGTACATAAATTTTTCGCGATGCAAAATTTTATATTTGCCCGGATTATTATTTTGCGTGAAATGAAAAGACGCACCAGACTTGCGAGAAAATTTCAAAAAATGTTGTATTATGGGAATGAGGCTTTTAATAGGTGCTCTTCCACGTTTAACCTTACTACGTTATTCAAGATGCGGTTAACGCAAGCGAGAAACATGGGACTATAATACAAAGTATAAAATAAGGAAGCGGAAAATGGGTAAACTAACGACTTACACAGCGCACTATAAGTTGTTATTCCTCTCAGCCTCTCAATTAACGTATTTTCTTATTAACAAAAGCCTTTCTCTGTTTGTCAAACGTAATTTTCTTGATGTGAATCAAATAAAATCATTTGATCCACATTGTTGAATCATTTTTGCAAGACAAAAACACATTTATATATTTTATAGCCTATAAAATATTTTATGTATTTTATATTCCGGAAGATTTATAAAGCGTCGCGAGAAAATGTCGCGAACGACTACAACGACTTTTATCATCTGATCATCGATCGCAAATTGATGCATTCGTACTTATCGTAAGCATACGCTGAAATAAAAATTGCGAGTTGTATTGAAAATCGAATATTCTTGAAATTCGAGTAAGAGCTCGATGGAAGATGACACCGTTTGACGTTTCCCCGAGGAGATCACGGAGCAGAGAGGAGGATAGGTCGGATCCGTTTATAAAACGGAAGTTGACGGCGAAAGGGCACCGCGGAAGAAGAAGCAGGAGAGAAAGAGAAGGCACAGCACATCGATGTCGATGTCGATCCATCCGTCCGTCCGTCCGTCCAAATTAGCTGCCTCCCGCGGGACAGACTGGCGGTTTACGACGCCGTCCTACACTTTTCGAGGACTATTTATCAAATATCAAGGATCTTTGAGGTCAGCCGGCGAAGTCGGAATAGGCAATAAGGCGGGTCGTCGGGATCTGACCCACATAGCCGCCCTCAAACATGAACACCACGGATGGAGCGCGTCCCTTCCGAGAGCATGCTATAATTACATACCGGCAGGATCTTTTATCCACCGCCAGGCTGTCCCTGGAGTCTCTATCGGGTGTCCCGCCGCGAAACAGCGCTAAAGCCCGAGCGTAAACGTAATTGAAATGTCCCTCGAAATTTTGAGGGAAAAAAAAGTGAAGTCTCTGAAATTCAGAGATAAATTCGCGCAATGGAATTAGCTCCAATCGTAACCGTCTAATTTTGTCGCGCGCGGGACGGACGGACGCGAATTAATAGCGGATACTTCTTGCCTTCGGATGATGGATGAAAAAATAGTCCCGGCGAAAAAAATTTCTTTGCATAATGCGCGCTGCCTCTTTCAAAGTTATCCAACTCGGAACTTCTTTTATACCCTCAACCCCTCCGGGAGATATATAGGTGACCTGCTTCTAATGGATCTCCCTGCATATCAGGAAGAGAAAACTTGATCCGCCGACGAAATTTCGTCGTCGTAGGTCTGCCCCTCGACGCGAATTTAAATCGCGTGCCGCCGCCGTTTATTGAAACCTTTTGATTTTCAACGAGCTGTAAGCGATTAATCACAGGATGAATCCTCTACCGGGTGAGAGAACGAGTCAAATAGCGCATCTCGATTGGCACGATTAATTTTTCGCCACGGGGAGTCCGAATGTCAAGTCGTGAAAAGTGGCACGCGTCTCGTTCTCGAAACACCCGATATAGAGACCCGATTTTTGCGCTGCCTCTTTTGAACGGAGTTTATTAAATTCGCGGGGTAAATTCACGCTCGCGCCCCAAAAGAAAAAGGGGGAGTAAACGTCAAAAGCAACGGCGTGAGTTTCTGTCGTCGCTCTTATTCTCTGAAGAGAACGTTGCGCGCATTGGGAATTCCGCGGAAATAGAAAAGTAGCAAGTTATTGTCGGCACAAGTGTAAGCAAATCTATAGGACCAGGGTCGGATTTATAAATATATAGGCTAACCAAAGTGGAGAGCTTCGAGTGTCTCGTGTCCCAAGGGGTTTTGCACCGCCTTAAAAGCCGGCTATAAATAATGCAGATGTCTCCAACTTTTTAAACATTTCGCTGCCGCTGCCGCCGGATTATGCGCAATTCACTACATCGCAAATATTATTAAAGATACATTTAAGAGCGATGACATTTAGGCTAATCAAAGTACAGCCTCGCAGACCCCCCGAGGATATCCGCACCGTCTTAAAAGCGACGATATAAATAATTCAGATGTCTCCAACTCTTTCATTTCGTTGCCAGAGATTATACGGAGATTACTTCGTTGGGAAATCCACATTGAGAGATATTTCCCCTTAAAATACATTTAAGGGCGGCGATATTTAGAGGTTCCGCGCTTCCGAAAGTGGCGCGCTTTAAAATAAAACGTTAAAAGTCCCAACTATAACAATGGGCTGTGTTCTTTTCCTTTCATTTGTAAACAGATATTTCCATACCGCGCGAGGGGAAAATGCAGATCCAATTACCGCAACCGGCACCCGTGTATTTTCGCGCGTGTATTGTTAGAGATTTTGGCCGGAGGAAAATCAATTCACACAAATGCAAAAGCCTCGGACTGCCGATAGACAACAAAGAATATACCGACTGGCTTGAGTCTTGAGAGATATTCAACGGGATATGGATATTGACCTTATCGAGTATCGCACGTATGCGCGCGATGCATCATCGAAATTGCGCGCTCGGAATACGCAATTTCTTCGAGTGTATAGCGCCGGACGAGTAACGAATTCCCGTGCTACTCGCTTGTGGCACTGGGACGAAAATATACATTCTGTAACGAGCAATATATATGGCGGGAGAAGTCTCGCTGCATCTTATACGATCCAATTCAGCTATGAACGTCGGTTTTTTTTTAGAACATTTTAGCGAAGTTAAATTAGTCAAACTAATCAGACGCTGAGAGCTCCGCAATTACGAAGACAGCGCGGTATTTCTTAAAATGTTTCAGTACTGCCGTTTTAGCACTGCGGTATAGCCTCTGAAATTTAATATAAAGATTCGCGGTACGCGAAAGCGATTCTTTTAGCCAAAAGACTGTCTAACAAAGGCTAAATAAATTCGTCCTCTCTCAAAGAGGATATCGAGGATGTATCTCCGAATTGGCCGAAACCCTTCAGAGAGAAGCCAAACGACGGACTCGAGAAGAAATGTTTTTCGCAATATAGCGAGGGATTCATTTCCGACCCCTCTGTCGCGCCGCTTCTAGGATATTCGCCATAATGACAACGTCGACGAGGGAATGGCGAGGGAAAAGGCTCGGTAGGAAGGCATGAGGAATAACCGGGACGATAAATGCGGAAGTGCAAAGCGACGCTACAGAGGACGAGGAGATGAGGAGCGAAGGTGGCGACAATATATTAGTCGGCGATTACTGGAATTGTAATAAAAATTTCAGTGCATGGAAATGCATTTGGTACTCGCCGTAATTGTATAGAAAAATAATCGAAAAAATGTAAGAATAACCTCTAGTAATCGCCCAGTAAATTTTTTACATCTTATAATACAGTATCTTCCTATTGTCAATAAATTTAAAAATAAATCTAACATAATATATTAAGTTTATTTTTAAATTCATTAATTTAATAAATTGTATACTTAATTTATTATATGCTTAATTTAATATATACTTTATTAAATTAATATATTAATTTAATAAATTAAGTATATATAATTATAATAATCCTTCACATATCAAACATAGAATAATTTTCTCCTTTCCAAATTAAAAAATATCTTGTAATCTTTCGCGCGATCGATTGGTTCTCGCACGAGCTGACATCGCGATCGTCGCATCAGCATACGTCTCCGTTTTAACGCGACCGTTAATTTGTCATACGCTATTACGCTATACCTTCGGCGCTACCTCTCGAGCGGCGCGGCGCACGAGGGTAGGCAGGAGGGGTGGCCCCGCTACATAGAAAGGTACCTACACCTGAAGTGTCCTCCAAGCCGGCTGACCCAATTCTCTCTTCTACCCTCCGACTGCGTTGGTACGAACCAGATACGGTATCTACTATCCTCCCCCCTTCCTCTTCCTCCTCTCTTCAGAGTTCTCTGTAACTCTACTCCGCGCCAATCCTCCACCCTCGTTCACGTTTTGCCTCAATCCATCCCTTTCTCGCCCTCCGTTCTTTTCGAGTATCCAATAATAATTACAAGGTTTTACATCGCTTAATTTTCGCGTTATCAATTTTTCTACCTCATATATTTTTCCCTCATAATTTCAATATTTTAAGCTTCAAGCTTGTGAATCAGGACCTTTTCGAAGTTCTGACACGGGCAAAGTTCTCGGAATCAGGAGCTTTTTCGAAGTTCTGACGCGAAAACTGGGGAATTCGCGGAGAACGGAGAGCGCTTACTCTACACTTTTACACACAGTGCGTTCGATTCGCTTGAGAATTACAAAGGCGCCGAACTTCGTTTCGCGCATGCAAATAGCCGCTCCGAAATACGTATTAAGAGAAAAGCATACCTGAAGTGGAACCGAAGAGAAGGAAAAGCAACAGGCGAATACGGAATATTGTTGCATTGTGCAACATGACAAAAGCGATTGCATTGGTCACATACGTCAACTTTAATAAAGTATATCACATTATTACGTCCGTATTGTACATATATTACCATTCGGTAATCTTTAAAGAATCGCTCTTATTTAACAGAAATCTATGCAAATGGTATTGAATAAGTAAATCCTCACAAATTTCTTAACTTTTACACGTTGCCGCTGCTAAATTCGCGCGCGGACGAAATGCGAGGGTATTGAACGCCGAAATTCCTGATTCCGAGAGTCGCAAAGCAAAAGGGATATACGAGAACTCGGACGAAAAAAAAGTTCCCCCGCATCCTGTCAAAGGCCTTCGA